TCATCCACAGACCACTTACTGCACATAATCAGCGTTCACAGATCAACATTTTAAAGTAATTAGAAAAATTATCTCACTTTCTAAAAAAGGCATATTGTTCCATTTTAGTGAAAAGGAAAATGACATTTTTAGCCTTTTTCACCAAGATTTCTGTTATTGTAACTACTACACCCACTGAATTTCTGTTCTTACTCTTCATATTGGATTAGCCCTAACTCACAACTGCGCAAATCTGCCAAAGAGCTCTTTAAAGTGTTAAAAAGAAAAGATGTCACTTTGAGGACTAAGATGTGGCTGACCCAAGCATATGCATGCAAAAGCTGGACAGTAATAAGAAAGACCAAAGAAGAATTGATGCCTTTGGATTATGGTGTTGGCAAAGAATATTGAATATACCATGGACTGCCAGAAGAACAAACAGATCTGTCCTGGAAGAAATAACAGCCAGAATGCTCTTTAGAAGTGAGGATGGTGAGGCTTCGTCTCACATATTTTAGACGCGTTATCAGGAAGGACCAGCTCCTGAAGAAGGACGGCATATTGGTAGAGGGTCAGCGAAGAAGAAGACCTTCACAGAGATGCGTTGACACAGTGGCTGCAGCAATGGGCTCCAGCCCAGCGGGGATAGTGAGGATGGCGCAGGACCAGATGCTGTTTCATTGTGTTGTACATAGCATCCCTACGAGTCAGAACCAACGTGGTGGCACCTAACAACACAATTGTAGATTGGCACAGAAGCAGTTGAACAAGCAGGAGAATGTCCCAAACACGGGGTGATTTGTTGCCAAAAGACTTCCAGTGCGCGAACAGGCGTTCCCCACTCAAGATTGCAAATAAAGGCAGTTAGGTTTCTGATCCATGTTTTGGTTGCATTCAGCTCTTGACATTGTTTGTTCACATTTCATTATGGCATTTGAATATGGTTTAAAATGTATTTGATAATTTGTCAGCAGTTTCGCTAGTGAGTGCGGGGGGGAAAAAACCCACCAAGTGTTGAGAAAGCATGAAACTCTCAGCAACTCGTCCATGTACCACAGTTCAGTCTTCTTAAAAAACCCTAATGTGATTCTCAGGAGCTTGTAGCATAGTGGCTAAGGCACTTGACTGCTAACCAGAAGGCTGGCGGTTCAAACCCTCCAGCCACTCCTTGGGAGGAAGGTTAGGCAATTTACTTCTGTAGGGATAATTCCTTGGAAACCCAAGGAAGGGGTCGCTATGAGTCAATGGGACATAACAACAACAACAACAATGTGATTCTCAATGTTAAGACTTGTGATATTTTGCTAGTTAATGATAGATTAAGGGTATGCAAAATAAAGCTTTTGAAAAAGCCATTAGAAATCGGTAATGGCCATATCAGTGCCATTAAGAAGTATTTTAGACTTCTGGTAAGATGGAGGAGTAGGCAGAAAAGCGACATAGACCATCTTCAACAAAGAGAAGAAAAACCAATTGACAGATACAGAAGATAATCCTGGAGCCCTGAGCTTTGAAATGAACTATACAGAAGTGGATTAGGCACCAAGTAGTGGGAAAACAGTGAGTACAGAGGCGGTCAGAGTTGCAGACTATCAGCTACTCTGATAGCACCAACAGCCTGTATAGTTCCAAATGGTATTGGGACCTGAGAATTGACCTAAAGATCAGCCCTGGTCACCAAGGGCTGCAGGGATAACTGCACTGATGGCCTATGACTAGGAAGGGAAACAGCAAGGAGGGTGACAACCTGACCTGTGGGCTTTCCACTGTCCGGAGGGTGCAGCCATTTTGATTGTTTACATGGGGTGGCCATTTTGGATATTTAAAGTGACCAAGGGTGCAGCTATTTTGAATGTTTGTAAGTGGCAGCCATTTTGGATATTTAAAGTGACTGAGGGTGCAGCCATTTTGAATCTTTGCAAGTGGCAACCATTTTGGATTTTAAAGTGACAGCATTCTCATTTGAATTCCAGGGACCTAAGAATAGGCTCTGTTTGCCAAGGTTAGTAGGGTCATACGAGAGGCTGATAATAGGAAAGGAGACAGGTGGTAAGTGTATAAGTGCTGTCAACTAGCAAATAGAGGAGCACAGTACCCTGCTTGCATAGATAACATACAAAGAAAACAAAAATCGTGGGCAAGTCACTCCAACATAAAATCGCCAGTTAAATATAAACACAAAAACGTCACAATGCCTCGGCAGCAACAAAGCATCACAATCCACACAAAGAAGCAAGATAATCAGGAGAAACAAGGAACCAGGATACAGACCCAAAACATATTCCTGAGAAAGACACAACATTAGAACTCCCTAATAAGGAATTCAAAAGAATTATATTTAGGTATCTTCAACAAATTGAGAGACAGATCAAGGAAAACACAAAGGAAACCCTAGAACAATTTCAAAAGACAATACAAGAACAAAATGACAAAATAAATGAAAAATTAGAAATGATTCAAAATCTACACACAGAAATCCAGAAGATTAATACTAAATTTTCCGAAGTAGATAAGACATTGAATGGGCAAAGGTGCAGAATTGAATCAATGGAAGACAGAATTAGGGAGATTGAAGGCAAATACCTGAACACTTCTTTGGAAAGGGGTCAATCAGAAAAAAGATCAAAACAAAATGAAGAAAGCCTAAGTTTCATGTGGGATACTATCAAAAGAACCTACGTGTTGTCGAAATTCCTGTACAGAAAGAGACAAATAAAACCACTGAGAAAATTGTCAAAGATTTGTTGGAAGAGAATTTTCCTGGTATGATGAAAGATGAGAATATATCCATTCAGGAAGTCCAACGAACCCCAAACAGGATAGACCCCAAAAGAAAATTACCTAGACATATCATCATCAGAGTTACCAAAACCAAAGAAAGACAAAGAAAGAATCATGAGAGCAGCATGGGAAAAACAAAAAGTTACCTATAAGGAGCAACCAATAAGACTAAGCTTGGATTTCTCAGCAGAAACCATGCAGTCGAGAAGACAATGGGATGGTATATATAAAACACTGAAGGAGAAAAATTTCCAACCAAGAATTATGTACCCAGCAAAATTGTCCCTAGATATGATGGTGAAATTAGGATACTTCCAGATAAGCAGAAATTAAGGAAATTTGTTAAAACCAGACCAGCCTTACAAGAGATGCTAACAGGAGCCCTTTGGATAGAAAAGTAACAACAGCCAACAACAACTGACCATTAACGCACATGATGATATAACCCAGAAACCCAGCTATAGAAGTATCCGAAGTAAAGAAGCATACAAGATTGTAAACAGGGAAACGGAGACATCAATTGACCAATGAGGACACCTACAAACCAAAAAGAGGGAAAAAACTGTGTTGTTACAGAACTTGTAGATGGTAGGGAAGTCAAGACAACTACAAGATAGAATGGACTGTTCTAAACTTGGGAAGAAAACTATAAATCACAGGGTAACCTCAAAGAAAAATGATAAACCTTCACATCAAAAAAGAGGACCAGCATAAATATTCAGCAAATACTAAAACAATAGCAATGAAGGAAGTGATAACACGATTCATAAACAAAGCGAGCTCAGCGTAGAAAATTATATGGAACAAAGAAATCAACACCATGAAAAAGCACATAATAAAAATGACAGCAACAAATTCATATTTGCCGATAATTACATATCTGGCAAGGGACTTATCTCTAAGATTTATAACGGAAGAGTGGATGACCAAACTATGGTACATACACATAATAGAATGCTATACAGCACTAAAGAATAACGGGGAGTCTGCAAAACACCACATACTATGGATGAACTTGGAGGACATTATGCTGAGTGAAATAAGTCAGTCACAGAACGACAAATGTAGTATTAGTTCGTTGTTGTGGAGGGTCAAGGAAAGGCTTGTATATGGAGGGAAACTCTTTTGTTAGTTGCCAGGGGTTGGAGGGGAGGGGAGGGAACACTGCAAAAACAAATGCATTGACCCATGTCACTTTAGTTTTGTGTATTTCACTGTATATAGATAATATTTCAATAAAAAGCAAAAAAAGTATTTTAATTGCATTCCTTATTTCAAAAAATTCATTATTCCGTTCAGCAGCTGGTGTACTTCAGCAGAGCATTTGTGTACACGCTTCTTATCTGTTTCTTCATAAAGCACATCAAAAAGTCATATTTGGCATTTAATCACATTTTTAATTTTCCCTATTTATGTCAATCATGGTATTGGATGAAGAGAAAGCATTCGCCATCAGCTGTCTCTACAAATAAGGATTTATGTGGGTTGGAAACAAATACATCTTGGTTTTATCTGGTGGAGAAGAAAAAGAAGAACCTAAGAGAGTTTATGGCAGGCTGAAACTTTTTTTTTTTTTTTTTTAATTGTGATTTGGGCGAAAGTTTATAGAACAAATTCGTTTTGCATACAACAGTTCACACACAGTTTGGTTCATGACATTGATTGCAATCCCCATAAGGTGACAGATCTTTTCCCAGTTCCTCCCTGTGGTTTTTTGTTCCCTGTGTCCTTCCTTCCTGTTCATTCCTGCCCTCTGAGCTATCTCCCTGTGCAAATGCTGCCCTTCTGATCTCCCATGGTTGATTGAGGTACCTACACGGTATGAATACTTACCTTACAGGGCTGTCCATTATCTGGCTAGAAACCATGGGAATGAGTTCAATTTCAGGCCTGCAGGGTGACTAGGGATCAAACAGTTGTTTTAAAGTAACTGTGAGAGTGTGAACACCTTACACAGGTTGCCCAGGTTGTCAGTCTAGGTATCACCTGTGAAGTGAGAGGGACTGCAGTCAAAGAGGTGGCCACTGAAGCATTGGATTTTGCCAGCGACTCCTGTACCTGGAGACTGCCCTTTACAGGTAAGGCTTGGTGTAGCAGCCTTGATGATAACCCAGGGTAAGCCCCTTCTTTTCTAGTTCTGAGCATGAAGAAGCCATCAAGAAACAGACAGACATAAGCACACGTGCACACCCGTATGTTTATATACGTATGTAATCTTTTGTTCTCTTTTAGGAGCAGAAATGTATAAAGGCAGCTGGCAGAGCCGGAGAAGATACAGGAGGAGGGGTCACCAGCAGAACCCTGGGTTCAGACAGCATGGCTCCAGTGAGAGGCAAGTGCTCTGGGGCACCGGCTTTTGTCCTTGATGTTCTTCTCACACGTTAATGTGCACATGACTCACTGGGGATCTCACCCAAATGCAGATTCTAATTCATCTGTCCTGAGGGGGCGGCTTGAGGGGACTGTGGTTTCACAAGCTCCCAGGTAACGTCATGGCTGCTGACCAGTGGACCACACTCTGAGTAGAGGAGATGTGGCTACACTTTTCTTTCCTTTCAGACTGACCATGTCTTCTGGCCAGAGCATCAGCCATAACGTAAAAATGCCATCTGATGTAGCTGGAGAACTGTTTCTTCATTGTGTGGTCTTTTTCCTCCTTTGTTTTCAGCCAAAGAAAATAGCTTTCTGGAAACCTAAATTCATTAATTCAGCCTCAAACTCTCACTCACTGCCATTGAGTCAAATTCTGATCCATAGCAACCCCCATTGGGTTTCCGAGGTGGTATATCTTAATGGAAGTAGATTGCCCAGTCTTCCTCCGCAGAGTGGCTGGTGGGTTTGAACCGCCAACTTTCTGGTTAGCAGTCAAACGCCTTAGGCACTACACCACCAGAGCTCCTTATTAATGCAACCTAAGTCGGGCAAGAGACTACAAAAAAAGAAAAGAAACACAAGCACATGCTACATGTATATGTGTAATACAGTATCTAATACATATTTAAAAGGGTGTATGTGTTATACAATATTTAACACACATTAAAAAGTATATTAGAATAATAAGAATAATACAGTAAGCATGTCCCACTACCCAGCTTAATAAAAACCCCTTTATTACTTAAGAGAAGACTCCAGTATATCCCCCTTTCTGATGAAATCCCGGAGGAATCAAGATCTTGGATTTGATGTTGATCATTTGACTGGGGTTTTTTTCAGGACGGTTAGCATTTTCCCTATTCTGCTTATTTTTTGCATGAAAAAATACAAACAGTATACTTTCAGAACAAGATACACCTCAGTCTACCCTAGTCCCCCAAGAGAAGATACCTGGTTACAGTTCAAGGCTTCTGGTGTGACTTCTGCCCATAGAGGTCTTTGCACAGTTCTGTTGCACAAGATCCCCCCACGCCCAAAGCAGACACGTCTTCAAAAGTCTTCTCCACTCCACACCACCTTTTCACACACACAGATTTCTAGTTACAGAGTCAGGGAAGAGATCATATAACAAGGTACTTCTCTTAGTATCTTAGTATACTGTCTCAGCCCAGACAGTAAGTAACAAAAAGCATCAAAATGTTGTGGAAAGAACAAGGGCTTAGGAAGTGGGAGGTCTGGGTTTGACACCCTGCCTTTTTACATGAAATTGGACAAGTTACTTAACTGCTCTGAGTCAGTATTTCTTCTTGTACAAAACAACTTAATCCTTCTCTGGTGAATCAGAAATAATGTATGTAAAACCCCTAACAGACTGCCTGGTGATGAGTGGGACTTCAGTGTACAATCGGTTTGATTAGGTGTAGGATAAAACCTGTTCATCTGAGCCTAGTCCCCAGACCCATCCCATATTGTAACAAGATCAGGACAGTGCCCAGTGTTTGTATGTTTTGTAAGGGGAACCATGGATATTTTTTGGGCCCTGGGCCTTCTCACCAGAGCACAAGGCATAGCAGAATTAGAATATGCAGGATGAGTCTAGCTCAGCTCTGGCAGAGCCTCCTGGAAACCTGCTGGACAGCCACCTTCTGGGCTTCCTGTGGAAAGAATGGAGCAGCAGCCCTGGGATGAGGAACGTAGACATCTGTCATGACACGAGGTCCTCTCCTGCTGCTGCTGACAGAGCAGCTGCCTCAGGAAGGTCTGGCCCCGAGAAACAGGGAGGAACTGTTGTTCCCTGAAACTACACATCGACCTTAGTATTTATAGAAGAGAAGGGTCTTTCTTCCTTTCCACCTAGCTTAGCAATTAGTGTTCCTTTTGGTGTGTGTGTTTCTTGATTTTATAGTGGATTTTATCAAGATTCTAAAAGAAGGTCTTTGGCTTTACCATTGTATCCTTACGCCAATAAATGCCACAGTAGCCGCCTGACTTGGCAAATTTGAGTGTTTTGACCATGGCTCCATCCCAGTATTCGTGAGCAAATTGCCTGCATTCCCTGCACCCCAGTTTCTCCATCTGTAAGGCAGGGTAGCCAAGTAACATTTAAGCTATTTATGCTGCTGAATCTAATAAGCAATGGCCTTGTAATTGCTTTTAAGCTGAAGGATGAGCCTTCCTGGTAAATTTCTTTTCTTTTTTTTTTTTCATTGTGATTTGGGTGAAAGTTTACAGAGCAAATTCACTTTCCATACAGCAGCTCATATACTTTGTTTCATAACATTGACTATAATTCACCAAAATGCAAGAGCTCCCCTCCCACTTCCTCCCTATAGTTACCTCTTCCCTGTGCCCATCCCTCCATGCACTCCTGCCCCCTGAGCTGTCTCCCTGTGCATAAATAGCCCTTCTTTCTCCCATGATCGTTCTCTCCAAGGAGTGTATCAGGTAAATGTTCAACTCATATGCCTGTCTTTTGTTTGGCTGGAAGATACAGGTGTGGCTTCAATTCCAGACCTGAAGGGCAGCTAGGGGCCATAGTCTCAGTGGTTCCATCAGGTTCTATCAGACCAGCAAACCTGGTCCCCCTCACTTTTATTTTCCCCAAATGATTTTGAGTTTTGTTCCACATTGTTCTCCCTCTCTATCCAGGGTCTCCTACATAGATACCCCTCCAAGTGGTTGACAGTGGTAGCTGGGCACCATCTAGTTCTAGACTCGGCAATATCCAAGCTATCTGTGCCATCAGGATCGCTTCCAGACTGCAGCTCCATATGTTTCCTTTTTTGGTGTTTTCATGCAAATTCTTCTGCTAGTTGGAGTTTAGTCTACTTCCATATCCTTCCATTAAAGGCTCAGGATTATCTTCTGTATCCGTGTTAATTGGTTCCCTTTTTCTTTGTTGAAGAGGGTCTGTGCAGTCTTTTTGCCTATTCCACCATCTTAGCAGAACTCCCTTATTGACAAGGATTTCTATTCTCCTTTTCATCTGGAAACTTCCAAAAGACCTCACAAAATGCTCGTGTGTGTGTGTTAATAAGAAGAGGAAATTACTGTGTTATTATACTTCAGTACCAGTGGTACTGAAGGAGGAGTCCAAACTGCACTGAAGGAATTGGTGAAAAACAAGGCTTAGGAATTGACAGAATACCAATTGAGATGTTTCAATAAATGTATGCTGCAGTGGAGGCATGCTCTCATGTATGCCAAGAAATTTGGAAAAAGCTACCTAGCCAACTGAAGAGATCCATATTGGTGCCTGTTCCAAAGAAAGTTAATCCAACAGAATGCAGAAATTAGTGAACAATATCTTTAATATAACATACAAGCAAAATTTTGTTGAAGTTAATTCAAAAATGGTTACAGCAATACATAGACAAGGAAATACCAGAAATTCAAGCTGGGTTTAGAAGAGGATGGGGAATGAGGGATGTCACTGCTGATGTCAGATGGATCTTGGCTGAAATCAAAGAATACCAGGAAAACGTTTATCTGTGCCTTATTGACTGTGCAAAGGCATTTGACTGTGTGGATCATAACAAATTATATATAACATTGGGAGGAATGGGAATTCCAGAACACTTAATTGTGCTCATGCGGAACCTGTACCTAGACCAGGAGACAGTTGTTGGAACAGAACAAGGTTTAAAATCAGGAAGGGTATGTGCCAGGGTTGTATCCTTTCACCATACTTACTCAGTCTGTATGCTGAGCAAATAATCTGAGAAGCTGGAATATACAAAGAAGAACTTGGCACCAGGATTAAAGGAAGACTCATTAACAACCTATGATATGTAGATGACACAACCTTGCTTACTGAAGGTATAGAAGACTTGAAGCACTTACTGCTGAAGATCAAAGACTATAGCCTTCGAGATGGATTACATCTTAACGTAAGGATAAGGAGTCTCACATCATCATGACCAATGGAGACAATATTGAAGTTGTCAAGGATTTCGTTTTACTTGAATCTGCAATCAATGCCCATAGAAGCAGCAGCAGGCAAGAAATCAAACAATATATTGTGTTGGGCAAATCCACTGCAAAAGACCACTTTATTTATATATTTTTCCTCAGTTCTTTCTTTTTTTCTTTTTTAATTGTGATTTGGGTGAATGTTTACAGAGCAAATTCATTTTCCATGCAGCCATTCATACCCATTTTGTCTCATGACATTGACTGCAGTTCCCCACAATGTAACAGCTCTCTTCCCACTTCTTCCCTGTAGTTACCTCTTCTCTGTGTCCTTCCTTCCTTTGCATTCCTGCCCCCTGAGCTGTCTCCATGTGCAAACACTGCCCTTCTGTTCTCCCATGATTGTTCGTTCTAAGGTATATATCTACTTGATGTAAATATTCACTCTATATGCCTATTTTATTGTTTCACTGGAAACAACAGGAGTGAGTTCAATTCCGGACCTGAAGGGTAACTAGGGTCCATAGTCTCAGAGGTCTTACCAGACTCTATCAAACCAGTAAACCTGGTCTACAAAA